AGGGAGGAGGTAGTTACAAGTACCAGTAAATGCTTACTCTGAGTTTATACTGATTGTGTGAATGTTTATGAAGCATTCACACTATTGTGATCCATTCTTACCATACCATACTTTATTTATAGAGCACTTAAAACAGCGACAAGGCCAACCAAAGTGCTGTACAGACAGAACAACAGGTAACACACAAAGCAAAATACAAAATGAGGTAAATCAGAATATAGACATAAAAACGATTCAGATAATGACGACTAACCAGTGTGGAGCATACAGGTTCAAAACACAGATCATCTGATGTTGAAAGCCACTTCTTCTTCTGTATGTTTTTCGGCATCTTTATCGTTGCACAATTTTTGTGCTATTTCAACAAATCATATATCAAAACATTCATTCAACCTTTATTTCTACAGGTAAATCCCATTGAGCCTCGAGGACTCATTTACAAGAGAGACCTGATTTCAGCTTGTTGCTTATGGAAGTTTAAGTTTTTTTCTGCTATTTCAGCTATAGCTGTTATTATGCTAATTTTAGCTTTTTCAACTAATTCCACTTTTGTTGAACTCAGTTAAACTTTTTTAAACCTAATTCAACAAAAAAAAAATTGCTCTCTCCACTTCCTTCTGGTAATTTCAGCTTCTTTCTGCCTTTTTAACTATTCAGCCGTGTTTTTTTTCTAATTTCAGCTTTTTTTCAGATAATTTCCACTGTTTTGTGCTCATTTCTGCTTTTTTCAGGCTAACTGAGCAAACGTGTTTTTTTCTGCTTTTTTACGCCAATTTAAGCTTGTTCTACCTTTTCAGTTAACTTTGCAGCATATTTGATCTAACTTCAGCTGTTTTCAGATAAATTCAAGTTGTTCACAGTGATTTCTGCTACTTTCAGCCTAGTTAAATTATTTCTGCTAATTTCAATTTATGCTACTTTCATCTTATTTCAGCTAGTTTAATTTAGTTCAGCTACTATTTAGCTGTTTTTATGATAATACTGTATTAGCTTTTTCAGCTAATTCCACATTTTTCACACTCATTTCAACTTTTGTGTTCTTTATGCTTTCTCCTGCTCATTTACACTTGTTCTACATTTTCAGCTATGCTTCAACGTTTTATATATA